TTAATAAAAAGGACAACGTAATTAAGGCATTAAGTAAACGAATACAATTTTAAATTCCTAAACTATGACATTAAAGAAAAAGGAAAACAACAAATATATTTAAATTTAAATAATGGCAAAGAAATAAGGACTAAAATATTTATATTTAGTAATATATATTATTATTGTCTTCAGACTGGACAAAAATTTAGGCGACCTACTGGTTCACACAGTCGCATTCGAGCTGATGCGTCTAACATAATATCGAACGGGGCAAACTTTCTCCGGTCGCATCCCAATGCAACGGAGATAAATACAAAGGTACATCAAATGTTTCCACCACGGCACTTATTTCCTGTACCAACACACCAGTGAGAGTTAGAAGGGAAAAAAAATTAATTCAGATCTTCGGCACAATATCATCATATGGAATCAATCAAATACACTCCTAATAATGATCCTCACTTTCTCTGTATTTATTTTCTTCTTTATTATATTTTTACTAGTGAAATAACATCTGTTATATTATTTTTGACAGTATTGATACATATATTCGCTAACTTCCTGTAATGTCTTGGATAGAAAATTTCCTCTTTTTTGTGTGGAAAACCCAACTTCCGGAAATAACATAGCATTCATGTCCAACTCCAAACATCTACGTTTTCGAACTGTTTTCTATTTCTAAATGTTTCTTCTTTAGTAATTTCTTCCGAAGAAGGCTTTTAGCCGAAACCGTGCACTTTTTATCGTCTTTTCTTTGTATTTCAAGCATCCACATATCTTGTTACACTATTTCCTAATATAGTTTAAAAGTATATTTAAACATAAAAAATATACAGCTATAAATATTCACGACCAACTAACAGCAACGTGTGGAGTCTTCTTGTAGCAAGACACCTTTAATTTATTAGTACTAAGGATATACCAATAAAATCATCACATTGAAACTTTGCAGCATTAAAAGTAGGAATAGGTTTTTCGTTTTATTGCATTGTTATAAAATTACACTGAATTTATGTGCTGTCTGTAAAGCAGGCCAAACTATAAAAAAAGTCCATCGAACACATAATATATACTGATGACGTTGCTTGCAAAAAGTTTCAAGCGTATCAAAACCTACAAGAGTGCACATCACAGGATGTAGATTCGTCTCGACTATTGCATTGCCCGTAAGTGTTTATTTTGATATATATATATATATGTTTTAATGTCGTCTGTTCGCTGGAGCAGGCGTCTTGCCGACACATTCGTTGTTTTGTAGAGCTCTTTTTTTCAGGTTTTCCGATTCTTTGTTTCACTTATTTTATTTTACAGTATTGACTTACACCAAACCGTTTACTTGTTTCCTGACGCCTTTCTCCTCTTCCCTCTCCTTCTCCTCCTTCTTCGTTTTCTGTCCGCTTCCACTGGGGTGGCGTTGCCGGGAGGTGCAGATGGCGATTTTCCGCAAGGTGTGAAACCTGCTGAAGATTCGTGACGCCTTTCTTTCACCACAAATTTGAACAGTTTTATGACGCCATTAAATTGATCGTTAAACATCTCTAGTACCGACGCCCTGTCTGGTTTAACATGACCATCGTAGTGAAGACCCAAGTCAGTGACTTCAATTCGCGGACACATTTGTAACGCCTCAGGGACCTGACATTGCTGCTGCAATTTTATCACCCGAAATTCAACGTCAGTAATCCCACTGGTCTTAGTCAGCATGCTTTCGAATTCACTGCGACAAATTTGAGAGAATTTTTTTATTTAATTTCAACATATATGTTATCAGATTTCGGGGGAGACAGCCATTAATAATAAATAGAGGTTACCAAATTTTTATTTATAATTAAGTATAATAAATAGATTTAAAATCTAATTTACAAAACACCCACAAAACAACTTCATGTAATTTTAAGCATCATAGGTGAAGTAAACATTTATATCAATCTTTTTGTCAGTAATTTTTTTATTAGTTTCAGGTAGCGATTATATATATATTTGAAAATTATCAAAATCATAGATGTTTATAAAAAATTATTAACAACAACTTTAATATAAGCAAATCGATACTTTAAAAAAAGAATTATACGTTACGTTTTCAAACTGTTGTAGTAATTTAATAATTACATAATGACATAAATTTAACTTCTTGTTGCATGTGAAGATAAAATATTACGTTTATTTCATGTGCTATAATTTATAAAATTTTACCTTGAACTCTGCCCTAAAGCAATAATAACCACCGAAAAAGTCTTCATTTCTTCCAGGATTATATCTTTGCCTTCTTAGGGAATGGTCGAGTTAGCCTTTAAATTAAAAATACGAAAATAGAATTTCATTAGACAAAGTCAAGAAAACAGCTCATACCAAAATTTTTATTTTAGAAAAATTAAGCTTACATACTTTTAAGCTTATGGAAACCATCCTCAGTTAATAATATATATTTTAAAAAAAATTCGTATCGGATAGTGCGTTAAATATTGATCTTATGGGTCAAGTATTGACGTATTTATATGTGACTTAGAATATGCGCAAAGATATGCATGCCATCCGTTTTTAGAAATGTATTTCAGGAGTTGGCGGAAAAGGTACGGCTAGTTGTCCATTGTTTTCGCTAGCACGAATGTGATCGCGAGAGATTTATTTTTATTGTTCATCATTCACATGCCAAGATGACCAAGGCAATTTTTTATTTGAGGAAGTAACCTTGACTTCTTGAGCTGTAGATGATTTAATGTGTGGTAGAATTGCTCAGTTCGTCAGCCTCACTCTCTCGTCTTTGCATATTCGATCCATTGGCAAGACTTCGTGAAGACGACTGGAAACATTTTTGGTTAAACGATATAGATGCTGGGTATTATTATATTATAGCAGCGGTTCTCAATCCGACAATAATCAACGTCTCGATTTATAATTTCAAAAAGCAGCGTTTTTTTTTTCAATTTGCAATTTTATCTTATTTTAATTGCTGATTATTATTAACCGCGATTGGGATAGCTTTTTACAGTTATACACTGCGACTACACTACACAAATCATTATCAATATGCCCCCCCTCCACATACACACATATTAACTTTTCAAAACCAATTTACACATTTCTGAGAAAAATCCTGTTAGTCGGTAGCCCGCAATAAAACAACGCTGAGGAGTAAATAAAGCGTCTTGAGCATTAATTAAGCCTTGAAATAAAGTTGCACCCTCAGATTGAATCCCTTAATGTTGACCACACACAAATTTAAAAACTTTTAATGATAAGAGTCGTTATAGGTGTTACACCTCAAACTGCACGGACTTCTCAAGGAGAACTATGTTATGAAGTTGACTTTGCGGGGGTAGGGGTGGGGGTGGAGGTTAATGCCCAAAGCTTTCTTTCTTAAATTTGAAGTGATTACAATGTTAATATAATTTTTGTAGGTAAAACAGTGACCTTTTTATATGAAAGGAAAGTGGTATGTAGCATTAGGCTAAAGTGTTGATATCGTTAAAACTTTTATTTTAAGAAAGGAAAGATTTTAATAATATAGCAAGCTCGATTCCCATATATTAATGGTGTAAAAATGTAATAATGAATGACCCAAAGGAGAGGTTAGCATGCCATGAGGTGGCTGACTACTTTCAGGCATAAAAAAACTTGTTTTTGTGTTTTGTTTTGTAGTTCAGATATTAAGTTAACAGCAGTTATCAGGAGAACTGTTTCATGTGTTTTATCTTAAATAATATTTTTAAAGCTTATATGTCTTTAATTTCTTACCCAAGAGATGATGTTTGCATCAAGGCCAAATACGATGTCAAACACAAGCTTTAAGTTCGAGCACAGCGTCATAGTATCTTGTGAACCCTCATTGACCAGAAGCACGTCACCTTTTTGGTGATCAGATTGATCCCATTGATCACCGGTGCAGTGCCCATAAACTAACTTGAACATCTGCTGAAGTGGACGCTTGGAGTCTTTGGTTTTCTTTTCCAGTCTATTACGACTAGCTAAAAGATACGTTCTTTCGCTAAGGTTTTGGAAATCTGTTCTTGAAAACATCTGGGACTCACTCAGAGAATGAGTGTTGGCCAAATTAAGGAATGCTAGAGCGTTCTCAAATGCTTTCGATTTTAAGTATTTCTTCAAAGTGTCTTGGAAATTATTATGATCAACGATAGATTTTAAAAAGTCTTGAACAACTTCGACATCTTGATGTTTTATAACTAATTTTATGAAAAACTTACAATGTGTATTTTCTATGTTAACGTCAGCATTATTCTCTGGAAGAATATATTCCCACATCTTCTGCCTGCACTCGTTAAGATTGGGATTACTTGAAAGCAAATCTGCAGCAAGACTGATGGCTTTAGTCTTGTGCTCATTGCTCATCTCCAAATCAGCTTGACACTGACTAACAATGTCATGGGCGTCTCTCAGCGTGGTGAGATGATTGGCGTGAGTGTTTTCATTGTCAATAATCTGTTTAAAAATTTGACGGGCCTTATCAAAATCTTTTAAAGTAAAGCAGAGCTTCAAAGAAGTAAGTAGTGCAGGGACATATGTTTCGTTGGATAAATTATATGAAGTTTCACAGTTTTCAAGAGCGCTGTTAAACATTTCTATCTCATTTTCAGTATTCTGATAACTTTGTTTAAGCTATTTCGAAGAATCCTTTCTTTTTAAAATGGTTTTGATTTTATCATTTTACATTTGGCTAGAAGTAAGTGAGCCACTGATGTTGTCTTTTTTTGAATGGATTCTTGAAGCAGTTTTATTGACTTATCTACTTGGAAATCCATCATACCCTTAGCGGACTGATTTAAGACTGACGGCGTTAATACGTCAATTTGTTCTAAGAGCTTGTCCACATAGAATAATTGTGTTTGTTCTCTTCCAGGAATTATGGGGAGCTCCTTTGCGTTGCTCGAATACAACACAGCGAGTTGTGAATAGGCCTGGCGCCTTAATTCAATAGAGTCCCCTGCCTCTGCAACCTGCCGCAACAGCCTGTCAGCGTCTGTAACATATTTTTTAACATCTCGTGTCGGGTAAAAAGCTTGCATGTGAAAGTAGGATAATCTTCTATTCACCAATCCAAGTCCGAATATCCACAAATATCTCTTGGGGCACACTTGAATGGCTTTGTTGTATAATTCAATAGAGAGTTTAAAATGCCAAAAACTGCCTAATCTACTATAATAGTAAGCCTGCTCAGCATAAGACTCGATCAAAAGGTCATTAAACTGTTCACGGCTTTTCATCTTTTCCAATTTTTTTAGATATATCTCCATTTTCCTCTTATCACCTTTGCACAAGTGAATGCGAGCTGCAAGGGCAGATATATTTCCATAACCCGTTGCCTTCAGCACGTCTCTGTTTAATTGTATGGCTCTAGAGATGTTTCCCAGGCGATGTTCAACCCACGTTAAAAGGTTTTTGTAGCGTATCTCTTCCTCGTTAGAATAGTCATGAGCGTCGTCTTTTGTTGTGACATCATCTTTGATGTAGTTCAATCGCGCCTCTGCTACTCTGTTGACTCTCTCCATGGTGAAGGCACATGGGAATTCTAGGAGCCGTTGGATGAAATCTTCGGACATCTTTTTTAAATAAGTCAATCGGGGAACAGAAGCAACTGAAGATGTGTGAAATCTTAAAATAAAATTATACAATTTTTTTATAAATCTTCTATTTTTTGGACCTCCTTTGGCATCTAAGTCATTGTTAAAAATTATTGTAACGCTCTTAATACTAATCGTTAAGACGCCATGTTACTTAAAACATCGGATATTTTTTATACATACTATTAACAACAGCTCAGACCCATAATCCTTTCTAAAACTTCTGAAACATATATAATTATAATTAATTTATCAATAACGACGCTGTCGTGTCTGTTTCACAAAGGAGGAGTTTACGATTTACATAATTTTAAAAATAACACGTGGCCTTTATGATGGATGCTATTTCAACAGTGGTGGTATCCTGCCGGTTTTACCATGTATTGGATCTAGGGGGGGGGGNTGAGTCTCCTAGAAGCGTGAGGCCCCCTAGAAGCGTTAGGCCCTGGGCCGGTGCCCATTGACTCACTCACAGTGGGCCATGCCTTAAGATGGCAGTGGATGTCCCCTATCTGCTAAAGTGTATGTGCCCCTTTTTGTCGTAGCAGATGTGCCTACATTGCTGTAGTGGGTGGTCCCTAAATGCTATAGTGGATATGCCTTAGCTGCTGTAGTGGATTTGCCTGAATTGCCACTGTAAACGTGCCCTAATCGTTATAGTGGATCTGTCCTAAATTCTATAGTAGATGTGAGTTCAATTGCATCACAATTTAAAATGATTGTGAAGAAGTCCTGCTTAGAAAATGTCTTACATCTTGCAACTATCAAAATATATGCTTTCTTCTTTTAAGTAATAGCCAATAAATGGAAACTAAGTGTATATATATATAATATATATATCTATATTTGTATGTATTTATGTATATAGTTAAGTGGAATATTTTTTGTAGATTTGTTTGTTTCACATACGTTTTCATATGGATTGATAAATCTTGACCTAACATGCACATATATCCATCATTATCCAGTATCAACTACTGGAGGGTTTTGGACTTTAAAATATATATGAGCTACATAAAAAAAAATTACCAACAACTACTCCAGCACGACTGAATGTATCTTGACCAAACTTAGTACACATACACTTAATTATCCATATTCAAATACCGAATGGGTACTAAACTCATAATATCCACCCCCTTTTCTTCACTTAAGATGATAAATACCTACAGGCTTAGACAACACAATAAGGTATATGTGAATTGATGGGCCTCGGCCTAGCATAGTAGCAATACCCTTCATAATCTGTATGGAAATATCAGTGGATTTAAAATGAATAATATCCCATTCATTCAGGATCGGTCCAGAATTTTCCAGAAAATTCGATATTGTGCATTTTTCAACCGATTTTAATTGGACAACTTTCAAATTTTAAAACAATGATTTATATGAGAATTTTTGTATAACCCTCGATCTGAGGCATAACTAAACTGGTTCACAAAATGGCCCCTCTTTTAACTTAAATGAAAATAAATGGTTATAGATATGATATTTATTTGTAGTAATTTTCGAAATTCGAAACAAAAATTACGTAGAAAAGGCATTTCGTCACACGTTTCGATGAGGTTATTAAATTTAATCTAGAATATTCCAGAAAGTTCTATATTGTTTCACGGGGATTTATTGTGGGATCTAAAAGCTTACTGCAATTTTAGTCTAGTTCTACTGATTTCTATACTCTCCTGGGGATTGTTTTAGTTTCACTAAGTATGATAGCTATACGTTTAATCAAATTTCTAGATTATTTTATTAACTTTGCTATTTTTCTATAATAATTAAAGATTCTATAAATGCAACTATCATATTTATTATTTTTCATCAACGTTCAATGACTTTGCTTAAATGTTATGGAATTAGAAACACAAATAATTTTAAAAAGTTTGTAGAAAGTTCAAAATTTATTTTCACATTAATATGGCCTAAGCTATAGACACTACTACAAGTATTGATGAATTGTGGCCAAAGTTGGTAAATATACCCTGCATAATCCCACTGGGGAACAGGATCCTAACGGGGAACGGGATACCACTTGGGAACAGTATGCGAACGGGGAACGGGATCCAAATCAGAAAACGTGATCTCTCCTGGTAACAGTTTCACAACAGAGAATAGATCCCAAAATGAATAGGTCTCAAGGGGAATGGGATCTCACTGGGGAACGGTATCCAACAAAGATTTGGATCCCGTCAGCAATGGGATCAAACCGTGAGTGAGATGCCATCAGACAACAGGATCACACCTTAGAATGGGATTCAATCGTGGAACAGGATCCCACCGGGAAAAGGGATCCCATCGATAACAGGATCCAAATGGGTACTTGGTCCAATCGGGATCCATAGGGGTCGGGATCACAATGGGGTCGGGATCCCACCGGAAGTTGTAGCGAGTGAAAAGTAATCTTAAGCACACTGCATATAAATCGTCAAACACTACTATTAAATCAAATGAGATTCAATACCACCGAGGGCTGTGCCTCTCTTAGTTTTAGTATTAAATGCAGATAATGAAAAAGTAACTTTATTAAAATATTTTTGGATAAAATATTTAATACAGTCATTGGGACAGCGAACAGGCTATTTCATTATTTGAAACAGAACACTGCGCCTTTAGACTTAAAGTATGCGCTTTTAACAAAGGTATTGATATTAAAAGAACAAACAAAAAACAACAAACAAACAAACATCGGAAAGTCCTTCCTACATCAATTAACACTGCATGACACACAATTTTTCAAGTCTACTTGACTAACGAAATGAAAGCCGAGATTTCTAAATCATATGCGTAACGATAAAAAGAAAACTGACCAAGTGATGCAGGTTTAACCCTCAACACACCATATTCAAAGATAACCGTATACAAAGCTTACATTTCGTTAATATATCTCTTCAAACACACATTTTAAGTGTTGTTAAGCACAGGCACGAATAAACACATGCAAACATAATGAATGTATCAAGTTAATAAACAATCCAAGAAAAAAATATACCACGAAACAAAACACAGAGAAACTTTCAAAATCTGAATTGAAACGTAAAGTGTAAGGTCACATGGCTGATAAAATGCAGGATGTCCCCATTTCAAAGAACTTTGTAATGATCGCACCGCGTGCAGAGACGATGTCACGGGTATGTTGTTTTCAATGTCAATGGTGGGGCACTATTGTTGTTAAAACTCCGTTAATTTTACACTGTGGTCAGAGGGAAAACCTAGGGTAAGTACCACCGGGGGCCACCTACATTCCACGAAACAAACTCTGCATTTGGCCAAAGATGACAACTTTCAGTATAAAGAATAACGGTTACACCTTTGATGGTACGGCTCCCCTCCCCCACTCTCACACGCCACTGAATGTGGTCACGTGTTAACTTTCGAAGAGGTGTACTAACTTAACAGAACGTTTCCAAATAGAGGAAAAATGTATTGGTGCAGAATGGGCTGAGGGTGTAAAATTTCTACACCTTTGTCTGATGAATAGTTCTTAACACAAAAAACCAGTTCTAAATTTAACCCATTCAAGTATATGCTCTTCCGTGAAGTCATTCGGTCACGTGGCTGGTAAGGTAGTTAAAGTTCGAACCAAATTTTTTTGAATGCACATCATTGGCGGTATGTAAATGGCAGGATGGCAATGATGGGATTTTACAATTACTCTGTACATTTTAATATCTTTTTATTACAGATTTTTTAATATAGGGATTATGACCAAACTTTCAGAGAACCTCGTTTATGTCATGGGGGTGTAGCCGTTTCAAATTTGTTTGGTATTTATGGTTTGGTTCGATTATTATGGAATAGTAAATTAAAATACATACAAACAAATAAACAAACATAGTCACACTAAGTTTATATAGTAGACGGCTATAAGTTAAGATAAGATAATATTCTTTTATTGATCCAAATAAATGGAAATGTTTTTTGATTGCATTATACATTTTCAGCACAAAAATAAAACAATTTGAACACAAGACTTTTATAATAAATTATTTCAAACAGCCATTCAGTAAGTTCTCTTAGCAAAATCGGGGACTTATTAGTTCTCATTCAGATGTGTGACTTCAGAGGAAGCATGCCGGTAAATTCGTACAGATTGGGGAATAAATTTTTTTTATATCTGTCAGTCCTCGCCCTGGTGGAAAGAATTAGTCGAGAACGGCCCGATCCTAAGTATCTGTGATGAAGAGGGTGGGATGTATCATCCAAAATGTGTTTAGTTTGCAAAAATATCTTTCTTCAAATAGTTCTTCAAGTAAAGGATGTCTAGTTTGTGTTATGTTCCTAGCTTTCTTGATTAGTCGGTTTATGCGGTGTTTAATATCAGACGTTGAATTTTCACACCAGCAAGTAATACTGAAATTAAGCACGCTTCCAATAGTTGCACTGTAGAATAAGTTAACGACTTGCTTGTTTACACCGAAATTGTAGTTTTTTGAGGTAGAACAGTCTTTGGTTGAATTTCTTCTACAGCATTTGGCCGTGTTCATGCCATGTTAGCTTATTATTAATGGTGACGACTAAGTACTTGTATGCCTCCACTTTCTCCACATTTTGATTTTTGGTGAAATCTGGTGTTTCCCCCTGCTGAAATCAACAACCATTTCTTTAGTTTTTGAGACATTCAACTGGAAAAAATTTTCATCGCACCAATTGATAAAGCTTGTAACTAAGTTGCAGTAAAAGCCTTCTCCTTCAGATATTAAACCAACAATGGTGGTATCATCAGCAAATTTTAAGATTGGAACGGGGTAGCTTGAGCTTTGAATATCATTTGTATATATGGTATAAAGTACAGGGGAGAGAACGCAGCCTTGTGGTGCCCCGGTGCTTATTTCTCTGGTTAGAGACACTTGGTTATTTACTTTGAC